AAAGTAGGAGATGTTTATTATCTGATAATGAAATTTAGTGTTGATATAAATTAATAACATTCATAATTAAATGTTTTTGGAATTTTTATAACTAGATTTTATTATAAGGATATTAATTACAAAACTCCTGGAAGTGTTAAGATGGTTGAAACATATTAACTTTTGTTCCAGTATGTTGTTTAAAAAAAGATTGTTCTGCAACACCAGTAAATACGCAATTTTTTAAGCTATAATTTGATATATCTAATTCTTTATTAATTTTATTAGTTAGTTTTTTACTCATATTTTTAGATTTTTATTACCATTTAATATGCTTATTTTTAGTAAAAAGTTATCTTAAGAGTTGTATCTTATACATGTTACTACAATCTATATTACTTATTATAACACCCAATAGATTGTCTAAAACTTTAGTTTGAAATCACATATTTTTTCATTAACTGACTCTACATTAAAATCTTTGTTATCAATGTTATCTAAAATTACTGATTTATTGTATTAATTTTTATTTGAATATTTAAATAAATTTATATTCTCTTAACAGCCCAATTTTATGAAATTACATATCGCTATTTTAAATTATATATTAAATCAAAATGATACTAAGATTTTTTAAATAAAGTATTTAAACTGCAATACCCAAATACTGTAATTTTTGACAAAAAGATAGATTATTATTGATATATTTTATTTTATTTTTCTTATAAAAATTTGTTTGTTCTAATATTCAAAGAAGAAAAATAATTATACCTATGAAAAGTGTACAGAAGACAAATCATAAAGATAATAGACAACTTAAATATACACAATAAACAGAGAAAACAGGATCATAAGTAAATAAACTTACTTATTACTCAACCCATGCTTCTATATTAATTATTATTATATCTGATTTACGTCTAAATATAAACAATGTAAAGTATTATTTTAATTTAATCACTTTTATATTAGTTATAGTTTTTATTGAATACAATAACATTTGTTAATGTCTGTTTAAAAGATTGATTGCAAATATAATTAAAATGTAGTCAATTTTCAAGAAATTATTATTTTATTTTTAAAATTATACTATTTAAAAGACGAGATAGATTTTTTAAATTCAACTATCCTAATCTTTTACTTTGAAGATCAATTTTTTTTGAAAAAAGGGGTATTTAAGAAACTATTTTCTAGAGTCTTTGTTGTAAAACTATGAAATTAGAAAAAAGATTCTTTAAGTAAATTATAATTATAAAATGACTGTTTTACAGTAAGTATATAGAATTCGCAAGTTTTAAATATCAAATCATTATTTAATTTTTGATCAAAAAGATAATTTAATAACGAATTTTTGTAGTAAAATATACTGTTATTTGATTGTAAAAATAAAAAGTAAATTTTTTATAAAAAATTTCCCCTTAAATGAAGTTATTTACCAAAATAATAAGAGAAGTTTTAAAGCAATTTTACATTATACTTTTTGTTGAATCAATATTTATTAAAGTTACTGTAAATAATATATATAATATATTTATCAACTTTGAACTAACTGAATTGTTTAAGATAGTTTACATTCTTATGATTGTGATTATAGTATTGAGTATCGTAATTGGATTATTTTCTTCTAATTATCGTATAAGAAGCACTGCTATACTAATAACAGGAGGATTTTTGATGCACGAATTATTTTTTTTAATCATGTTTCTACTGTCATTTCCTAATTGGAAAAATGTTAATGAACAACAAAGAACTGAACGTTTTGTTGATAACTTTATTAATTTTTTAGAATTAGAAGAAGTAAAAAAGAAGAAATATTTTGCTGTATATACGATTTTTAATATCATTTTTTACATTTTGGAAGAAACTTCAGAAGATTCTCTACTAAAATTTTCTTCTCCTTGTATAGAATTATCGATATATATAATAATTTTTGCATTTTCCAACAGGTTAATAAGTATCGATAAGACTTTGATATTCTTAGTTCTAACAATTATGAGTTTTAAAACATGTTTTAAATCTACTTTTAATGATAAAAAATTATCTGTATGTTTTAAAATAACTAGATATGATATTTTGAATTTAATCACATTTACTATCATATTTATTCTATCCTCATATGTAAAGCTTATACGAGATATTCTAGTTAATGTAATTCTATCTGTTTTTTACAGTATTATTTTAAGTCTTCTTATCTCAATCATTTATTACGGAATGGATGATTTATTTTATCGTTTAAAACTACTTTTATTAGATGAGAATATTTCAGAAAATAATGAAAAAATTGGAATAAAATATATATTTATGGGTTGTTTTATACTTTATCTTACTACTATATTTCTTACATTGAGATTATATTTGAAGAAGAAAAGTATCGTTAAGATGAGTTATTAAAATAACATTACAAAATTTATAACTGTTTCTTATTAAAGATTTAATGTTTTTTAATTAAACGTTTTTATTATACTTTGATAATAGTTTGTGTTGATACAATTAAGGTTGAATTATTTTAAGTAAAAATAATAACAAATTGTTTTTTATTAATTTAAGCTATGTATAATTTTATAATGAATAGCAAAAATTTTATTTTAGACTAGTCACAATAAATTTATACACTGGTAATTAAAATAGTTTTAAGTTTATTTATATTAAAGAAATCATATTTTTCAAACTATTTACAGTATTGATCAAAAAAAAGTGACCACTTAAAAAAAAGAGTAAATAAACAATATTTAGTATTTCTGAAAACAAAAC